CATGACAAAAAAATTGAAAAACAAATATAAGAGTAAAACAACATGCACGAAATCTCAATTTGTTTATCAAGAATCTTCAATGTAACAGCCTGAGCTCTCACCCATTTAGATATTGTCCGCTTTGGCCTAGTGGCCCCACAATTTTAACAAAATGGTGTAACTTCCTAGGAATGCTCCAAAACAAACACACTTAACTTTGGAGTTGCTTATGAAATTTCAACCGTTACATCAAAAGGAGCCTCGATGTTTAAGAGTCAGGGGTTTTACAGTCTCTCTCGCTTAAGTAATTGATATCCTTGTAAATTTTCTTAACCCAAAATCATTACCAAACAAATAAGATTCTAAGGGTGACGCCTATATATTCAAAAGGTTTCTCCCACCATGTAGCATTTTGTCACATATTGGGAGCAAAAGGTAGCTCCCATGGCATCACACTTTGTTCTGTATGACACTTAGTTCTGATATCCAGACTGTTGAATGCTATGATACCATTTGTAATTGCCTAAATTCTCATTCATCGAGATATTATCCACTTTGACCTAATGACCTCATGATTTTGTTCCATTGGCGTGACTTCCCTAAGGTAACTCATCCCAGGAGTGCTACCGCATAAGCGCACTTAACTTTGGAGTTTCTAATGAAATTCTACTATTACCCAAAGACCCCTCAAATTTTAAGAGTTCTACTTCATTCTACTTAAGAGGTTTCACACTCAAATACATATGTTGTCGAGAGGACCCTCAAAATAAAGAAAAATTGGAAGTCATAACAAAGAAAACAATAACGTTTCATAACTTTAATGGTCTAATCAATAATGAAAGTCTACATACACAATATCCTATTTAGAAAGGAAGTGAACCCAAATTAAAAATGAGATAATTTTATACTCATTACATTTCAAATTAAAAATAAATAAAAAGCATTTGACCATAAATGACAATAGCCATTAAAAAATATGAACAATGATTCAATTCAATTTCAATTTAACAAATGCAAAAATTGTTTATTTGATCAGGACTAGCTGATAATGTTGCATCATAAGATTATAGTTGAGAGGAACTTACTCGATTTGTGACATGAAATTATTGTACCAAAAATCATAAGCCAAAAAGATTTAATTTTCTTTATTTTTTTTTTCTTAAAAAAGAAAAAACCAAGAAGCTTGATTCTCTTGGCTCATTTATTAGCTTGAAGATAGAAGTGATAATTTTGATTTTGTTAAAATAAAAACCATTACTTCTAATAGATTTTAAAGGTTCTCCTAGAGTTTCAAATCCAAACTATTTTCTAATTGCATCCAATCAAATCATTGAATCTACTAAACTCGGTCATCTTCCAAAGGAAGATTTACATACATATCACTTAGTTCTCATGCATTTACATATCTCTAACACCTAAACTTCAATTTTTACATACACGTTTACATGTTAGAGATGTTAAATGTTAAAAGTAAAGTTTAGTCGTTAGATATGTAAATACATAGGACTTGTGTGGCATGTATGTAATTGCCCATCTTTCAAAATATGATTCTAATTTCAAGCAACCAAAGAAGCCCTAGTAGTAGTGGAAAATGTAGCCAACAAAAACTAACCTATCTAATCAGCTACATGTAAATAAATAGAGAAAATACACCAACATTGATCTTTGAACATACAAATAACCATTAAAAAATAAAAAGGAAACTTACATTTCATAGGGAGCTTTGAAGTTGTCTCCAACAAAGCAAAGGGATACATCTCATCCTTGGCCTTGAAAGCCAAACACCCACTCTTGCCTCCTGTACAAAACCTGCAAAAACATGCAGATATAATGATTCAGAACCCTTACATTTCAATCTCCAAGCCCGAAAAACCAACCCAAATCAAACAATATGAAATCCAGAACCTGAAGAAAAACAATGGTGTGATCAAATCCATGGTGTTATCAGACAAAGGCAGACTCTGATTCTTCGTACAATTCAGATGCCGTGATAGTTTTACCTAAAGCAAAATTGGACCGATTGTTCTTGTCCAAATTCTGTACAGCGAGCTCGAGCATCTCCTGCAGATTTAAAAGCCGGGTGAGGATTTCATCATCGCAACACAAACAGCCCTAATTTCAAAATCTGCATAGCCATCATTATGGGAAATCATCTGTAGGAATGAAAATAGCAGACGAGCTGGAACAATGGAGGTTTGCCAGGCTGATTGTACTTACAAAGATGTAAATTATAGACTGAAACTCTGGCGAGAATTCTGGAAAATCTGCGCCTCAAGAAGCATGGCCTCTCCATTGTTGAACATAAGAGGTCTGGCAAGCATAAATTCGAAATAATCTAGCGTTTCAGACTAACCGGGATCAATTGTGCGGACACTTTAACGAACTTTGAAGTAACTTACTTCTTCAGACAAAGTCAAATGTTGCCATACAGAATACCAAACAAGACTGAGAAAAAACCCTAAATACTGACTTAACACGGCTGTTCCCGGAGGCGGGGACCGAATTTGGTATTGATTCTCTCATCTTCCCACAACAACTTCAATTTGCTGATAGCACCGAAGAAAAGGCTAATCGGAAGAATGGTAAACCGGCTTTATTCTTTACAGTTTTGTGGGGGGTTATATTTGGGTTAGACTCTTCTGTAATATCTGTGTAATTTTCTTGTAACGTCCGTGTAACTTAATTGTACCCGTGAAACTACAGAAGCGCAGAACTCATTTATATGTTACAGATAGTTTTTAAAGAGATTACAGGGGAGTAACAGAGGGGTATAACTCTGATATAACCCCCTTATATCCCCTGAATAACCCTTGAACTTACGCAGCGTTGTGCGTGTCTTATGTACGGAAATATTTTCCCAAAAAAAGAGGTGATAAAGGAAGCTTTTTGAAAATCTTAAGCTTGCAAGAGATTAGCAAGTGGGAGTTACATATTGCCATTAAATTAAATAGCGAAGAGGATTATACAAGGTTGTTCTAGAAATATTGGTTTGTGCAAAATGTTCAAATGAAGGCTTTAAAATATAAGAAAAATTTGTGTACGTAAGACGTTTGCAAAGCTGCGTACAACGGAGGTTATTCAGAGGTTATTAGGGGGGTTATAAGTAGGTTACAGAGATGTTGCATGGGGTTATAACGTGGATATAACCCCCCAATACCCTCTGAATAACCTCTGATGTACGCAGCCCTGCAAACGTCTTACGTACGCAAATTTTTCTCCTAAAATAGACTCTGAAGTTTGATCCAAAAAAGGAGCTACCTATTATACACATGTGGATTATTTTTCCTCCGTTAAGGTTACATTATTATAATCAAAAAGTGCTTTTGTCACCGAGAGCTATTTTTGAAAAATCTATGGAAGTGGATTTGGCTACTTTTTAACATGAGTAGGCCATCGGCCGCAAGTGTTTTGGTGAAGAGAGACATCACCCTTCCTATGTTGGATGAAGTATGAGTTGAGACTTAAAATATAGGATATTGAAGTTGAATACAAACCAAAATATTGAACGAGGTGTAGGATTTTTTGGCACATTGTAGAGAATTATTTCATTATTCACTTAAAATGACCATACCAGAAACTCTTTAAAAACAGAGCACACATGGGGGGG